TCAGTAGTGTAGTGCTGATGCCGGTGGGCACCGGTGGTGTGCTCATGGTGGTTGAGAATGGTGAGGTGTTGATGAGTGAGGGTTCTGTTGCCTGGAGTGTTGTGCCTTCACTTGTCATGAAAACCACAGTGTCAGACCCAGTTTCCGAAGAAACCGTACAAGTGGTGTTTCCAAAGGACAAGGGCTCGGTGGTCTCAAGCCAAAGGGTGAAGCTGGACCTCCCCATGTAGTTAGAACACAGGCTGTCATTTCCTGAACCCCCCAATAGGTTATTTGCTGGTCCCTTACATTTCACCCAGCCCTCAGCCTTTAGTTCGGTCACCACTCTCACGGTTAGGTTGCCTGTCGGCAGAGTAGCGTATGTTTTCGTGTTTGTGTCGTACGTAATGTCGTGTGTGTGTCGTGAGTCGTTAGGGAAGGTCCAAGACACTTGGGGCAACTGCTCCCAGTACACCCTACCCACCACCACCGTGTACTTGCATTCAGGATAGCGTTCGGCCTTCAAGATCTCCACCATTGGTGGCGGGCAGGGCAGGGAGTGGCTGGGAGAGACTGGCGCGGAGATGTTTCGCATCAGCGCCGAGGCGGGGCAGCTCACTTTTGCCGGGGGCAAATTTAGTAAATTCTTAAAACGCTGCTTGGTCTTTGGGTAGCCCCCCTCGTAGTCGTAAAGCCAATCATTCGCACACGTGCAGCGCGGCCGGTTGGACAGGTGAATCCTGAGGCCCCATGGAATCGCCCTGCCTTTCAACACAATAGTGGCAATACCATTATCACGGGCAACTAGACTGCCCTGAAAGGACCATTTGTACCAGCCGCCAGACAGGAAGGTCAGCCTGTTTTCTGCAAGATTTAGGATATCCAATTCCGTGTTTGAGTGGAACGCGCCTGCAGCAATGTGGGAGATCCTGTTACCCGTCAGGTGCAGGGATACCAGCCTCTCAAGCCCGTGGAACATCCCCACGCCGATCGACCGAAGCTTGTTCTCAACGGCGCGGACATATACTACGGACTTGATCGTCTGGAAGGTCCCCGGGGCTACGTTAGCGATAAGATTGGCACTTACGTCAAACCACCGCGGCTGCAACCCCCGGAAAGCGTCAGGCGATATCGTCAGGATTTGGTTGTCCACAAGGACGATGTGTGACACGCTGGGCAACCCATCAAGGCAGCCACCCTACAGCAGAACAGTTTGTAAAACAGTTAAAAAACCATTCGTCGGTATGCCAGCCCGTTATGCTTTAGTACGTTGTCTGCATCACCCCACTACTAAAAGGACTGAATCCACCCATCTAGTGATGGTTTTACAGGGCCTTTGCTGATTGGATGTTTTTATATAGTCCTCACTTACATTTGGCCAATCATTGCATCTCCTCAAGTACCGACGGATAGACTATGTTGGCCCTGTCTTTTGCAGACAAGCGACAAAGAGACGGTACTAAAGATAAAATGACTGACATCCAGGCAATAAAAAAGGGCGACAAGCAATGTTCGATCGCCGAAAAATATGTTTACGTAATGCATGTTTTATTGTATCCCACCTCCAGATGTGCCAGGTTGTTCTCCAACAGCAGCAGATACTCGAGGCTCTCCATCCCAGCAAACGTGCCGTTCTTCAGAGTCTGGACATTGCTCCGCCAGATGGCCAGTTTTGACACCTGTGGCAACTTAGCAAACGCCCCTACCTCTATTGTCGTTAGGTTACAATCCACAAACCACAGCCTACAATCTTCACCACATGGGATCTGAGACAGGATCTCTCCTTTTTCATGGTCAAGCCTACCGACGTTGTTCTCAACGATCATGATGTCAGTTATGGATTGTGGAGGAGAACCCCCCTGGGTAGGCCTTGTTTCATTTGAGCAGATCTGACAAGACTGGAAAGCCTGGCCCAAAGAGAAGGTGGAAAAGGGGCCTCCGTAAGCGTAAAACTCTTTCGGGTTTTTGGTCCACTTGTACCGGTACACTCCAGTGTCATACCGGTACTCACGACCATCACTACCACTGTCACCTACACCACATTTCGCCACGGGCACTTCACGGCAGCTCTGCCAGCTACCGGCGTCCACCCGCGGCACTAGTAGCTGCATAAGCAGCAACAACGAGACTTTTTCCATCGGCTTCATCGCTATTATCGTTATTACACCATACTATTGATAGAAAAGATCGTCAAGAAAGGATTTATCTTACCATATGATCTTACAAAGTGTTTGTCCGCACCTGTAGGATGGCCTGGACAGCGCAGGACGCAGCTCTGTTCTCTGCAGTGGCGCCCGAGCACTCTAATCCCACCCAACCTGGCAGCTTGTCACAGGCTTTGATTGATTAAGTCTGCGTTATGCTGAGTGTTTCAGCCTAGGACAGCCATTGGCCAACCAGCATCGCCGTATCAGCGACGCCGTGGAAGAACAAAGGCATTGCGAGGGAAGAAATATTCACGTTGCTTTTAAAACCACATAACACTCTTAAAGGGAAAGGTAAGAGAGGCATTTCCAGGAAAAAAATCCAAAACACCAATCTATACCGCGTATATTAGTCTACATGTACAAAAACAAAATATAAACAACATATTATAAAAGCAAGGTTTTGATCAAGTGCAGCAGCTATGTGCGTATAACCTAGTGTAAAAAAGTGTAATAATAATAAGGCACCATTTGCTTGCAGGAGGGAAGAGAATATGTTAGATCTAGAGTCTATTATTGACTCACCTAAATAATAAATTTAAAAACAAAATTAAAATATCTAATACCTCTATGAAAAATTTCAAAGAGTTTTTCGTCTTGATTCACTTTCCTGCACTTTATTCCCTTATCTCGCACATCTGTGCAAAATTACAACATTCGAAAAATATTCGACCACAAGCGACTAATTTTATCCAAGTTTGAAGAGTAGCTTTCCAACTTTACACCATAAGAATATTGTTTCAACTAGTCAATAATGGACTCGTCCATCGGTCCGAACATTTCCACATCAAGAATTTGGAGATCCTTTATCTCCACAAAATATGTAAAGTTTATGTTTTGGGGGGATTTTCCTCATTGGTTATGGAAAGAAGGTCGTATCTACCATAATCTAGAATGATTAACGGCTTTAAAATCCCAATCATTTACCATTTAGACATGGCAGAATGTTTACATTAATTATGCAAATTGGGTTATTATTTGCATAATTGGTATCTGTTGATATTCCACCTGTTGTTGATTACATACATTACTTGTATGAAAGTATTATTATGTAAAACACTGGAATTACAGAATTCACTCTTTTATTATGCTAATTAAGTGTTCATTTGCAAAATTTGCATTTGCACAACCTACCAACATATCGAATATCATCACTATCCATAAAGGCGTTCTAAAGTTATACTGACTACAGATGTGCGGAAAAACACAGACAAACACACACGGACACACTAAAACAATACCTCCATTTTTCATTGAGGTAAAAAATACAGACTTTTGCGTAGCTTGATAATCAGTCCTGTCCAATACTAGTAACTTTCAAATTTCCAACCGTAAGATGTATGATAAAATGAGTCTAAGATATCATAAATAATCATAAAATATTGAGAAATGAAATAATAGGGGGGCTGGTGTAATACCGGGCCGGCCGCTAGGAGCGCAGATTTAGTCAGGCTATCTTCAACCTATTGTGTCACATTTTCTTATTACAACATATTTTACAAATAGGCCGAAACAGACATTTTATTTCTAAGACTTGTTTTGTTGTCACTGCTATTTGTTTAAATATCCCCTTTGATTAACCCTACCCCATACAGATATAAAAATTGCTTTGTCAAACCTAATACAATGAAATGTTAAATACAGGAAAATGTGGTGGATGCTATATGAACGTTTCCAAAACCAAAATTATATCCAGTTGTCAGTGAGTAACTGTTATTACCTGGATGTCAAATCTTCATCGAACTATCTAAGTCTGTATATATTAAAAATGGCGTCGATTAAAAGCTAGACAGAAGTGTCTGGATAAACATCTTGAATGTACCTCGTACAAGGTTGAACTGAACTGAATTAGCCTTTTATACACTTTGGTGCGATCATGAGTGGGAACTGGTATTTCTTGGAGTCCCTGGGTGGCCTGTTAGAGATGACTTCCCACGAGATGTTCTCTTTCTTAAAGCCTGCCTTCTTCAGGTGAAACATCTGGGTCTCCTGTGGAAAGTTATTTTAAACATGTCAGTGTTTTTGTAAGTTGTTTATTATTTGAGATCGATGTTACAAATAAATGTATAGAAATAGCCGTCTTATGGAACTCATCGTTATTTTACTGTAATCCTAAAGCATACCACCAATTAGAGACTGACCGTGGGAACAAGTAGCTATTAAATTAGGTAAACTTGGATATATGATAACATTAGTCATTTTTAAAAGTCTGTAAACTTTTTTTACTGTTTACTGTTTGACAATTTTATCATAATACCTCACAAGAAGTAGTAATTTTTAATATACATGTACATTTTAAAATGCATTATTTTGTAGGGCAATACATAATAGACGATTGACTTTTCAAAACCACTTATTTTTTTATCACCGTCAGTTATGACTGGTTCACTTTAAACTGAAACTGAATCTATCTTTTCATAAACACACACTCTTTGACTAGTTGTAGTGCAAAACCCGATACCTTGAACATGGTTTCTATGTTGTCGTACGTGTTCTTGAGTAGCTCCCCCCAGGAGGTGAGGTTGCAGTACGTGAGCACTCCGCTAGGCTTCAGTAACCCCCAGGCGTGTTTACCGATGAAATCAAACTGGTGAGTGTGCCACTCCAACTCCGACAGGGGGTACGTGTCGTACAGAATACCTGCAAATTTCAGATATAATTATTGCATATCAATAATTATCAAACTTCAACTCATAATTCCGCCATTTTAACTGTAAATGAATTAAATTTTGTTTTAATTAATTCTAAAACTGAACTATGTAATATCTAAAATACACATATTTTAAGACTGCCAGGGTCTAGTTAGCAATAAGTCAAACCATCGGAATTAAAAACGCGGATTATATAAGCGTTTTATTTAAAAACAGATATGTAAGGTTTGTACTTTCACTGTATTCCTCGCAAAACACTCCTGCTATGTTATTATAACTCTGGAAAATTAATTTTTCAGAAGTTAGGGTACTTCAGTTAGCAGAAATAAGAGAGTTGACGATGGTGACATACAGATTACCCGAATCTGTCACAGTAAAAAGATATAAAACAGTATGGAAAAGTTTAAATTGAACTTTATGGATGACAGGTACACTTTGGTATAGTTTTTTTTCGAATACAATCATTAAGTTGACATTACTCACCATCGAAGATTCCATCTTGTAAAGTCGGAACAATCTCCTGCCACATACCCTTCAGTGGAACAACCTGCAAAAATTCAAAATGATTCAACGTTTAACGTAAGCACAGGTATTGGAAATAGTTTTTAGTCGGGTTGGTAAGTCACTGAAATGTTTTTTTTCTCTTTTCAAATTCAATGCAGCTGATGTTAGAACTGCTGACGTCACCTTCATCATTGCAATTTTAGCGGAAGGTTGCTTTGTACTTTACTTGATAACACTCCAAAGCAATGAAGAAAGGGCGTTCCCGCCTCTCTCCAAGATCCTAGCACCCTTTCCAAAATATTCACATTTCGGGTTTTCTGTTGGTATTATCATGAAAATCAACTGATTAGGGTGCACCTTTTCGCTAAGGATTTCTAGGGACACTCGCAGTTATGTATTTTCCTGTACGTTTGTTTCCAACAATATTTCAGGAAAAGCCAACAAGTATGGTGGCCCTACCGCAAGCCGTTCAGACGATATTCGACATCAAAGTTGGCGCGTTCATTTTTAGCCCCCCCCTCCCAGTTTAAATAGGGTTAAAATTTGTTTCAGGTCCTAATTGTTATTCCATTGTTGACTTTCTCTACGGGCTATTTTAAAGAAACGTATGAGGCCTTGCATGTGCGGTGGAGACTATGTAACGTCGTCAAACCTTCGTTTTTTTTAAATCATCCTTGTTTTAAATTATCATGAAAGTTCATCTGTGTTGGTAGTAATCATAGTAAAAGGTTGAACTTTATTCCAACACACAATATGTACACGGATCAAATTTTCAGTGGCCACTGTCGCCTTCATCAGGATAATTAACGACCAATCACTTCACAACGTGATCTCGCGAGAATTACGGTTTACAAACACGTGACCTTATTCACACGAGATTTTACTGATACGTGACGTAAGCAATTGATCAAAAGTGCCAGGGAGTTTATATCGTCCACCATCTCTATTAAGTGAAGGCTGAAGTGCTCTGATATATATGGCCTCCTTAATGCCTCTTAAAAAGTTTTAAATTGTTCATTGCAATTTTTTCTCCTTTACTGACCTTGTGCTTCTGTTTCTCGGCCCACGTCTGCAGCCTCTCGTAAACACCGTCGTTACACTCGATGATCCAGTGTTCCTCTATGTCATGTTGCGCGATCTCACCAGCAGCTATCCCCATGCCAAAACCGATTTCAAGGATACGTCCACCTAAAAGAACAAAAAATATTACAAAAACAAGTTGGACTAGCCTAGTCTATCGGATTCATGTCTATATAGGTAGAATGAGAAAAGCGTAAAATAAGTAAGCGGAAGGCTTATCAATCATCATCGGCAGTAGCTTGTCTCCGAGCATGATTGTTCGAGTCAGGAGTGGCCTTCAATACTTGGGATGTCTCTGCCGTATACGTATGTGGTTACTTAGACCAAGCCTGGTGTGAAAGAGTTTGTGCCATTTTGTTCAGGGCAGGCTAGGAGGTGGGCGCGGGCGGAGAAGACGCTCCTTGCGTTCCTGCCTTTTGGCCTCAGCTTCAGTCCGGCGTTGAAAATCTATGTAAGCCGTCCCCTGCATCACAGTGCGTCGCCACTTGGTCCTGTCTTCTGCCAGGTGCTCCCAGCTGTCCTGGTCTATGGCACAACGAAGAAGTGTGTCCTTCAGTTGGAAGCGGCGTCGAGGAGCGCCTCTAGGTCTTGTGCCAGATTCAAGTTGGGAGAACAAGATCTGGCGGGGGAGTCTGGTTTCGGGCATTCTACTGACTTATAATATTACAAGGCTTATAATAATGGCATACATAACCGTGTGTGCTGTACATTGTCACAAAGGAGTAAGTGTACTCTCCAAGCAGAGGTTTGGGTTTTAGGGGTATTTTTAGCGTGTTTTTAGGCTTTTTTTATCGGAGTTTCTCTTTTGCACTGGATTTTTCCCCACTTTTTTTGCACTGAATTTTTTTCCCAGAAAGAAAAAACCCCGATAAAAAAGCCTAAAAACACGCTAGAAATACCCCCAAAACCCAAACCTCTGCTTGAAGAGTAGAGTAAGTGAAGCATGTCTTACCTTTGCAGCATGCGATCTTCGCCAGTTTGTGCATGTAAGGCGTCTGCCACCGCTCCATGACGGGCTTTCCCATGATTTCCAGGCACTCGTCATCCTCGTCAAAATCCGCAGAGGCGTCCGTCCATCCCTGCTTACAGTCTTCTCCGGGTCCGAAGACAGGCTGGTTCTCTACGGCATCCATAATCAATTTGGTAGACAGCTTATGGCGTTTTTGAGACGTACAGAGAAAATTCGTTTTTGGCAGGGCGATATAACAATCACACAGTTGCTGACAGCCGCAGGGCAAAGAAAAACTCTGCTTTGTCCCCCAAAGACCCGATCGGTCAAGTAAGTAAGTAGGTAGGTATGTGGGCGGGTCTGGGGTCCACTTTATATATCATTTCTGAAGTTGGTTGCTGTTACATTTGCTGCAACCTAATAGGTAAACGTTTCACTAACGGAAGAGCCTGATTGGTTGGTTTGGAGAATTCTTCTCCCCGATTGATGGAAATTCCCAAAGAAGGAGACGCCTGATTGGATTAAAAAATAGGTTATCCGTCCTTGACGTTGTAACTGAAGATGTGCGCAGGGTATGGTTAAGTTTAAATTTATAGTAACTGGAGACATTCATCAACGAGAACGAGATGGGCAGATTGATGTTTTTATTTTAGGATGGATAAAGTTTCAAACCAACGACAGCTGTTTTGTCGAAAATGATATTCATTCCACGTATTCAAATGCCAATTTTGACACGTTATGAAAAATTACTGTAAGCCTGATACTGGAACATGATACCTATGAACTAGACTCTGGGAAAATATTTTAAAACATTGCCCATGTACACTACCAAGGCAGATCAGAGCATATTTTTAATTTTACAAACGTTGTCCAATGTCTGATACCAGCCCAGAAAAGAACAAGAAACAGTCATGCCTTCAAATATCAACCAAGAATTGAGGTATTCAAAAACTCGTATTTCCCCAGAACTATCGTAGACTGGAACTCGTTGCCACCAAGCACAGTTGGGGCATTAGACAGCTTTAAACAACTCCTGCAATCAAATGTGCAAAGAGTGAGTGTAACAAGTCGTTCGGTGTGATATAGCTAGCTGCCGCCGCGCCGCGTGCCTGCGAAGCTGGTGTGTTACGCCGAAGGGCGGTTATACCGGCTATACCAATGCAAATACAATGGTTGTTTAAATGAGCGGCCAGGGTAGCTTTTAGACCTCAGGACGTTTGGATATAGCTATTTCCTTCTGTCTGCCGGTGAAGTCAGTCCGTTTTAGAAGGACGTGGGCATAACCAGTACAGTGAGGTGTATACATGTAGGCGTTGTCAAGTGTAATCCAGTAAGAACGTTTTTCAACACGTCTGGGATTCTCTGTTTACACTTTGGTGGCGCCAGAGTTATAGACAAGTGCAGCGTAGTACAAAATTGGTGTGATATACCCTGTATCGTTTATCAAGTCAATTGAGGATAAATTCTTGGATAAAAATAAGTATATCAAATGGATAATGCACACTTTACTTAGGAGTTCATTTGGGGCTAGGGAGGTATAATCGTACTAGCCCAGAATATAGACGATTCCACCATCTGTTGGTATATTAAGTATGGGCCCTACCCTTCTACGTTTAGATGAAATATTAGAATAGTTGGTATTTGCGTCAAAGCCAATTTCACACTTGTGGCCTTGCTGAGTTTTTTTTTTTTTTTAACTCTTTCTTTTTATTGATATTTTCACATATATATTGGACAGAAAGTATGGCATGTATACAAAATAAAGAAACACATGTGTAAACCACAAAAGTAAAACACAAAATCAGGAGACAATGGTGTATGATCATTAAAAGAACATAATATAAGTGATGAGGAACCCTAGAAATCACAAACTATTAAAGAAACTAAGCTGAAAGGACACTATAAAGTTTACCCCACTTCCCAATATGTTTCTGAATCTTATCTTGTCTTTTTGCAATTATGTATTCCAATTTTTGAAAGTAAGAAATGTAAGAAATGAAACCTTGTAAGTCTAACCTTTTCTGGCGATATTTAAATATGTAATGTTTACCTAAAAGGATAATGAGATTAGACAGGGTTGGGCATCGATCGCTCAAGTCACCAAATATAACATTAAAAGCATTCAAATGTAAATGATTATTGGTAAGTTTGACAAGCCAGTCATTCACCTCAGACCAGAAATTAACAACTACACGACAATTCCAAAACAAATGAATGACTGACTCTTCCTCTTCATTACAGAGATAACACATAGGGGAGTCTACTAATTTCCATGTATATAGTGTTCTATTTGATGTCAAAAATTTAAAGAGTATCTTATATTGAAACATTTTGGTATGGGTGTCTATAGAAAGTTTATAAATTAAGCTGTAAACCTGTTTCCAGGGGATGGGTGTGTTAAAAATATTCCTCCCAGGAGTGTTGTGTTTTATAAGACAGTTCCCTTAGCTTGGACTCTTCCATGAAAAAAGTATACAAATATTTATTAATATTTTTTTCCAAAGCCAGGTTCTATCTCTACAAATCGGCACACACACCTGTATAGCAATAGATTCCTGTCTAAGGGCCGCTTTCCAATGTAATGGGATCGCAGAAACTAATTGATTATACTGGAATTCCGGGCAGACATCCCCAAACATTGTTATAAAAGTCTCGTAAGAAAAAAATCTGTTTTCTGAATCCAAGATGTCATTAAGAAAACGAACTCCCCCATTGTCAAATGCTATCGAAAAGAAAGGTTTATCACCGATACGTATATTTGAGTTCAAACAAAGTAATTGTTGCTTGATTTCGTCCACTTTCTCAGGTGGTCTGAGTTGAAAGCGTAGCCAAGCTTGGATAATTTGTCTAAAAAAAGAACTTATTGGTGCTTTCTTTCCCATTAAAACAATCAAAATCATTGACAGCAAGTTGTACAAAGGGGAATAAGTTTGTTCTGAATATTGGACAAGAAAAAAATAACAGCTTAGAGCAAAACCATTTTTTGTTCATATATAATTTAGGCATCCAAGAGGCCTTAAGGGTGAGGTCGACAGATCGCAAATTCCTAAGTTTAAGTCCTCCATATTCGTAAGCACTATATATAGTTTTTCTCTTAACTCGCTCTGGCCACCCCCCCATAGAAATTGAAAAATTTTCTTCTCATATTTATCAAAAAACTCAGAGGGAGGGGACGGAAGAGAGGTAAGTAAAAATCAAATTGTGATACTATAAGTGTATTGATAAGAGTAACTTTACCCATAAGAGTTAATGACTTTGTCTTCCAAGGATATAATAATTTATCTATCTTTGCGAATTTCCTATCAAAATTTACGTTTATCAAATCTGATATTTGCTGCGGAATATGAATTCCCGACAGATCTATCGGTCCATCTGTCCATTGAATCGGTAAGGGACAAGGTAAATAAAAGTCAGTGCCCTTTAAAGAACCAATGCGTCTTATTACACATTTGTCAAAATTAGGTGTTAACCCTGATAACAATGCAAAATCTTCCAAATCTTTAACTAAAGCGTAAAGAGTACCAAGTTTCGGAGCTAAAGGAAAGTTAGAGTCGTCAGCATATTGAGAAATTTTTGTTTCTATCCCATAAGTACTTAATCCTTTTATTTCCATATTGTTTCTTATCTTCATAGCTAACATTTCAACCCCTAATATAAACAAGTATGGCGAAAGAGGACATCCCTGACGGACTCCACGGGACAGGGAAAAGGAGTGGGAGATGTGTCCATAATTAATTACTTTACTACAGATATCTTTGTATAAAACTCTTATCCAATTTAGAAAACCCCCACCAAAACCAAAATATTCGAGTGTTTTAATAATAAAATCAAGTCTGATGGTGTCAAATGCTTTTTCAAAATCTGCCACAAAATTAATCCAGGTAGTTCGTTACATTCATAATATTCTATTATTTCTAAGATTCTGCGTATGTTATCACTAATGCACCGCCCTGCTAGGAAACCTGTTTGATCATAAGATATTAGATTTGGAATTATTTTTTCATACGCAGGGCTATGCATTTAGATAATATACGGACGTCACAATTTAATAGTGTTAAGGGCCGCCAATTTTTAATCTTGAGAAGGGTCTTTATCTTGTCCCGTGGAGTCTTGCTTTAGTATCAGGGAAATAAGGCCAGTTTTTTGTGTATCGGATAAGTGACCCATTCGGTACGAATAGTTAAAGGAATCAAGCATAGGCTTTTTTATGTAATTAAAAAAATTCTTGTAAAAATCTACTGGAAGACCATCTAAGCCAGGCGCTCTCCCCGATGAAAATGAGTCAATAGCAACTTTCAGCTCCTTTTCGGTAATAAGACCTTCACAGAAGTCCCGTTGATCAGCGGACAGTGAAACATGGGGAACTTTAGGGAAAAAGGGCTCAAAAATATCACTCTCCAAAGAGATAGGCGGTTCTTTGAAGGAATAGAGATTGGAAAAGAATTTGACTTGTTCAATAAGAATTTCCTGGGGGTCAGTTTTGACTGATCCCTCAGGTGTAACAAATTTAGTCATGTTTTTCCTTGCTGCTCCTCTATTTATAAGATTTAAAAAAAGTTTTGTACATTTTTCACCCTGCTCCATCCACTTGGCTCTCCTTCCACTAATCATATTACTACATTTGGTTTGGTAGAGCAATTCTAGCTGCAGTTTCTTATTTTGTAACGTATGGAAAGTGTCCATATCAAAAAAAATATCAAGCTGTTTTTGCAATCTGTCGATCTCACATGAAAGAGAGAGTTCATTATCTTTAACTTGTTTGGCTTTCCATGATACAAATTTGATTATATGGCCTCGAACTGAGCATTTAAAGGCCTCCCACACAATATGTGGATTAGCTGAATCAACATTAAATTGAAAGAAATTAGTAATAAACTCCAAGGTCTCTTTTACAAATGTCCGATCACTTAACAAATCTTGGTCTAACCTCCAAAATCCACGGCCTCGCGGTATTATGGAGGTAGTAACTGTTAATCCAATAAGGGAGTGATCTGATCTCAAGCTACTTTCTATAACAACTTTCTCTATAGCAGAGGTTAAGGAAAAGGATGTCAAAAAATAATCTATTCGGCTAGCCTGGCGTTTGCGTCTCCATGTATAACGTATTGTTTTGGGGTTCTTATATCTGTAAATATCGAGTAAATCTAAGTTGGCACATAAGGAATTTATAGCTCTTAAACAGTTTGGGTGATAATTAGATGCTTGATTCCCAGCCCTGTCTATATCGATGTTCAACACAGTATTAAAATCCCCAACAATAATAGTATGTAAATCAGATGCTATATAGTCTTGTATGGTCGTCTCAAGGTTGAAGAAGAAGTCTGGGTCATCGGTGTTGGGGGCGTAAATATTGGCCAAACAAAAGCGTATAGAATCTATGGTGATATCTAAAACCAACCACCGCCCTGAGTTATCGCTCAGGGTCTGATGGATGGTGTATGAAAAATTATTCTTAAATAAGATTAAAACTCCTTTACTGTTACTAAGACCGTGATTATATAAAACAGGACCCCCCCATTCTGATTGCCAGAGCTCTTCTTGTTTCACCGTAGAGTGGGTTTCTTGTAAACAAAAAATGTTATATGATTTGTCCTTTAGCCATGTAAATATTTCGTTTCGTTTTCTGCGGTCGCCCAACCCGTTACAATTAAAGCTACAAATATTAACTTTTGGTGATGTCATAAATGCCAAGGGAAGAAAAGGGGTTTCTAAAGATTTCAAATAGGGGAAGACGACCGCAGAAAGTAATATAGACAATAAAGGAATAGTGGTTCATATTAGTAATAACATAATAAGGGTTCCTCATGATTAATAACAACAAAGAGAATATCCAAATAATCATATCCAGCTTAGAACTTAACGATACGAAAAACATCATGCCATACACATAAAGATAAACATCAAGCTTAGAACATGAAATGACGAGATACTTCGAGCCATGAATGAAAACAAAAGATAGATAACAGAACATTTCTTGCTTAAAGCCAAAGTAAAGTACAAAATAACTTAACGTAAACAAAGGTCTAAGCTCTTATAAGTTCTTATAAATGAGAGGCCCTTACTTATTCTCATGTGCTCCATCCATCATCAGTATCACACTAGTCATTCCACAAAAAAAGAACATTTCAACTTAAATGAACTCAAGTAGCATAACATAATCACAAGTTTGGTGCAAACTCAAGGTACATATAAAAAAGAACCAACTTAATGTGAACATAACACACGTACAACTAATCAAATTTTACTGTATACGGCTGTGACAAACATGCAATGGCTGGGTTTGAGGCCAATCAGAAGCTAAGAAGCAGCATCGCGTAACAGGTGTTTCCATGAATGCCTGTTTTCACCTGATTAACATTTCAAAAATTCAAGGATTCAAACCAGCCGCATATTTGCCACGTCTTGTAGCTTGCACCAAGAAAATAAAGCATTCATTCAGTTCTGTCACATTATGGATTCATTGATTACACAGCAAAGAAGCACCAAAGTCTCAAAGAGAAAGTAGTGCGTGTTTAATAACTTCAGTCTCTTAAAAATACAACAGATTAGCTCTCATGTGTTCGGCAGTGATCTCTTCTTTGTTGACAACATTAGATCTACAGCGTCAACACGCTTCTTTTCCTGCCCATTCACAAGTAGCACAGCGTACGTAGCCTTTGGAGGCACCCATATCGACACTCTAGTATCCGTACCTTTAACTTTCTCTAGCGCAGCTTCTCGATCTGGAACTAGGTTGGCTCTCGCAGCTTGCAGAGGCGGTGGAAGATGCTCAGTTTTGATGGCCTTGCTGAGTTTTACAGTTCGCGGAAAAAATCTTGCCAAATACAGACATGCCATGTTCAGGCAAAAAGGTCCTCTCCGTGGTCCGAGTCCTTGAACTTTTTTCTTAGTTAAATCGTCAATTATGTCATTTTCGGTACTTCAATAGAGTCTGCTGGAAATATACTATCACTGGAGTGCAAGATTACTGTTGAGGTAGCAAATTACTACAATAGGGAACACGAGTTTTGTACACCAAAATGAAAAAAATGCTGAGCAAATTGCCTTGTGTACTTTGGGTAGATATGTTGGGATAAGTGAGATTTTTAAACTGTCCTATGTCATCATTCTCCATACATGTAGGGTTTCTCACCAGCGTGTTTTACTAGATGTTGCTCCAAGGTACTTTTCTGGGCAGCAGTATAGTCGCACTGGTCACACTTGTAGGGCTTTTCTCCTGTATGAGTTCTAAAATGTCTGGATAAGTCAGACCTTACCGCCGTACTGTACCCACACTCCCCACACATGTAGGGTTTCACATTAGTGTGTTTTATCAAATGAAGGTCTAAGTTAGATTTCCATGCAGTAGAATAGTCACACTGGTCACACCTGTAGGGTTTTTCTCCTGTATGGTTTTTCATATGTTGGGATAAGTTAGATTGTTGGGTTGTCCTGTACCCGCACTCCCCACACATGTAGGGTTTCTCACCGGTGTGTTGTAGCAGATGGCGGTCCAAGTGACATTTCTGTGCGGCAGAATAGTCACACTGGTCACATTTGAAGGGTTTTTCTCCTGTATGTGTTTTCATATGTCGGGATAGGTGAGATCTCACAGCCGTACTGTACCCACACTCCCCGCACTTGTGTAGTTTCTGGCGACCGTGCTTTACTAAATGGGCGTCCAGGGTAGATTTCTGTGTTGCAGAATAGTCGCACTGGTCACACTTGTAGGGTTTGTCTCCCGTATGCCTTCTCATATGCTGAGATAAGTGCGACCTTACAACCGTACTGTAATCACACTCCCCACATGTGTACGGTCTCGCACGGCCGTGTTTTACTAGATGAAAGTCTAGGGATGATTTTTGTGCTGCGGAATAGTCGCACTGGTCACACCTGTATGGTTTTTCTCCTGTATGGGACCTCATATGTTGAGATAATTGAGACCTGTAAGCCGTCCTATATCCACAGTCTCCACACGTGAAGCCTAAGTTGTAAGGTTCCTCATGAGCATTATTCAAGTTGGCATTTTGTCCTATTGTCTGATCTTTGGCATGCCTTGTTTTGGCGTCACTGTCGACCTGACAAACACCGATGGGAGACCCATCATAGCAGCTTTGACCAACTTCGTTAGGAGACCCTTGCCCTTCCATATTCCACCTGACAAGAAAAGATAAAAATTTAAAAAAAAGGTCAATCATAAATGTGCACGTTTTGTTATGAAAAGGAAATATTGTTTTCCTAGATTTGTTGAAACTTTTCTTACAAGTTTTAGAATACAATCGAGCACTTGTACGTATTATTAATACGCTCACTTTCTTTCTTGATTATATCCCCATTAAAATGATAATAATAATGCTCTCGTAAGTGCAATATAGTATAGAACTAGAAGGACTCTTGCAGAGAAAGCATATGGTCTTATTATTTCTAAGAAAACAATCTTTGGTTCAGCCTGTAAAAAATGAATATAATAAAGAAATGCACGAACTGACAACATGTGGTAATTGTGATACACACTACGCTAATGTCAGAAAACAATGGAAGAAAACGTCAGTAAGACGATGCAACGATATACCATAACTATACAACTACACTTTGGCAATGGGTAAAACTTCCTCGGGTAAAACAATGGTTCAAAATATATCCCCCGCCCTAATTTGGGACTCAATTTGGTAGACTAAAAAAATCGGCAACCAAAACAGGTTTTGACACTAGAGTATCTATTCACTGTATTTAGATTAATTTGAATCTGGGCGTCCACAATCCGGTTAAAAGTCCTACAATCCATACTAGGAAAAGTGCAAAAAGCCGTACATCTATTCGTTGGTGGCGAAATGTCGAACGTATGTTTAGTTTGCCCCCCCCCCCTCATTTCTACAATATAACCCGCAAATGCACGCAAAACATCATCCAATTGCGGTCCCTCTTTCACAGAAATAGCTGCTAATTGTTGCCCTTGTTATCAAAATACATGGTTGTTCATTTCTTTGCCTTACCTGCTTTCTATTACGTTTTATTTCTCTTCTCGTAAACCGTGACTCGGGCAGCTTTGTCCTTCGTGTGTGAGGTCAGGGGTGAACGCGTGGGTACGTAGGTCAAAGTTGAAATTAAAGGCCTGATTACCCATACAATACATGGGGATCTGGTAGGACGTGTAAACGCATTTCTCCGAGTTTCCTCGTGTCAACTTTTTTTTACCGACCACCTAAACAACGCTAATTTTGCCTAACTTCTTTTTCATCCATGTGATCAAATCAGCATGACCTTAGATTCATAGGCCGATCCGGATAGTCTCCACGCTCGTGTTCAATATAATTCCTCCAGCTGCGGGCACGGTACGCAGCTGCTTCGTACGGCGGTAACAGATCCCTGGAGGGCTTTAACAGCAAGGGCGAAAGGCTTTACGTACTAAAGGTTCAATCTTGTTTACGTACAACGTTGTGAGGTTCACCCACCTCACAACATCTTCAGTCACCCTAGCTAAAGGAGGTCCTGCTACATTCTTGCTCCTACCACAGACGACAGGAATCATCTCCAAGATGTTCAACAACAGCTCAGACTCGTGGCTTGTCACAGAGAAGACGCTTGTTCCTGAGATGCCAAACTTACTGTCCTGTTATCGGTGGTACTTACGAGACAAGACTGTATCCAACGCGCAAGCGAACGAAGCCTGCTCCAAACACGTAGACCTCGTGAGGCTGGGAACCGGCACGGACATTGTCTTTTGGCTGTTGGGAATTCTCATCATCACCGCCAATGTCGTTGTACTCTGGGGAATCATCGTAACCCGAAAACTCAGCAAAACTGTCTCTTTGCTGTTGGCGAATCTGGCAACCACGGACCTCTTTGCAGGTGTTGTACTTTTGTATCGCACTGTGGGTCACCTCCTGCATAGTGCTATGTATAAAGTCATCCTGACTTTTGTCGATCTAACAACACTAACTCAGCTATTGTCTGCATCAGCACTATCCTTGTTGTCTGTATACAGTTACGTTGCTATTAGGCATCCTATTTTCTTCCGCATCCATGCTGGCAGTGCAGAAAGATATGTAGGTATTGTTCTTGCCTGTACTTGGGTTAGTTTTAGCTTACTTACCCTATCGCCTAACATGGGCTGGAACTGTATAGATATGCATATTTTAACAACAGGCACGTGTATTGTATATTACCCTGTGGCTTTTGTCATTATCTGTGCATCAATGCTGTTATTTCTGTGCGGTGTCATGTTGTTTACAAATATTTCTACATTCATCGCTATCAAAGGGCGACGTAAAAAGAGATTTGGGAAGCAAGTGGCACCTCAGGTAATAACAGTAACGGCTGTAAATCAGCATCGTATCAATGCACAAGATGAGGCACGTAGGAAATTTCAAAGAACCTTGCACAGGGCAAGGACTGTTATGATTCACGTGGTTGTGGCGTTTGTATTTTGGCTGCTATCCAGCCTATTCGTTGCGGTTTGCTTGGTTATTCCGAATATGCGTCTGGGTGCGTTTGCCTGCATGTGTGCCAACTCATTCATCAACCCAATAGCGACTTTAGTCCGTACACCAGATTTAAGGCAGGGAATCTGGCAAAAACTGACGAGATCTCACCGGATAGCTGCCTCGGGGTTCATGAGAAACCGGACAATCGAGGACGAAGTACAAAGTGGGCCCGGGAACGCACCATCTTCACAGGACCCTACGCAGAAAAGCTTGCATGCTATGAAAGAACTACCGCAGACATTGAAAAAATGTGACTGGGAGATCTATGATGACGACCTTGAGACGGCTGGGCTAGAAGAAACATCTTCCAAAAGACAGACTGAAACAAAATTAACCAAACTGAAAACGGAAAACCTTGAACAGGGCAGAAATGAACAACGGCAAGTAGCAATTGTTCATATCTGAAGATATATTATATTACTAATATGTTAAATGGACAGTAGCTTCTGGATGTAATTGAATCTACAAATGCGACTTTGCTTTGTATATATACGAGTTGAAATCTAATAAAATATTGCCTATAAAATGCTTTGCATATGTGCGTGCCTAGCTGCCTATAGCTAGGCCTGTTTGTATTTCCGGATATTTCTGGTCAGCAAAACATAAGATGGCAAGAATTAAATGTGATATTTGGTTTGTGGGTAAGTCTTGAAATGAATATTTTCAATGACGACTTTTATCCTTCTTGCAGCTATCCTTCGTACTACTGTATAACTTCCGCGTTTATGTCTTGCTCTGAATATGCTGTGGTGTTAATTTTGGGGTAGAGGTTGATAGCTTTTGTTATCAAAGAAAGTGGTGTGGTGTGCATTGCAGAACGACAGTTCCATATAAATATTCTAAGAAGGACAGCTTATATCTATATGAACGGCAAATTTTCATTATTTGAGGTACTTCATTTTTGAGATCCCAAAAACATTTTAGCTTCGTCTTGTCGTAGGTGGGGATCAATTACATTGCATACTATCCTTCAATATGGCTTGCCCAGTCTGAAAGCCAATAATCCTACTAGAAACAGGTGTATAAACTTTACACGTAGTCCACTAAAGGTTAACATGTATTACAATTTCAACCTTTAATGCAATTAAATCTAACCGTAGGGCATCGTGATGGTATAGATATCCGCCCTTGATTCCAAATTTAATAGTTATAAAGCCAATAAGCTGAGACAAAAGGCATTTTCCATTTACACATAGTCGACACTTGCAATGACGTATTGCAATCGTAGCTTTTAATGTGTTCAAATTCCACCTCAGTAATACAAGAGGATTATTTTAAAGGTGCCAACTGCTAAAAGAATCTCCCATATACATTATATTGTAGAAAACAACGTAGTATGGGTGTAACAGTAATACAGGAATCATTTTCAAGGAGCCATGCAGCTGCTCTGAAATCTCTCCACGTCCTTCACTTTGTAAGAACGTGCTAAGGCCAGATAATGTTTACTTCTAAAAATCTTTTTTTCAAAAAACATTTAAGGCGTAAATCTTTCTATATTTTTTTGCTAAACCAACGCAATTCTTACAAATTGTCACTACAGATTTGCACGATTAACCAACTATAATAGATATCAGTTATGATATTATATTACATGCTTTCAAGTTTAGTGTATATTTGTTCGTATTGCCACATTCATTTGTTATATTGGCTGACACGTTGTCGGTTAAAGTTACTTAAGATTAACATAGATTATTTAAAAAACATTATTTTTCATACCACTCTTTATAAGTTATAGTAAGCATTACTGGACTAGAGTTAAGGCCTACCTTAAGGAAGTACATGTATGTGCTTATAAATACGATACGCTTTCAGATTTGCTTGACGTTCTTTATAATTGCATGCAAACTCCCCAAGCAGAGATTTAGGCTTTAGCTTGTTTTTGACGTTTTATGGGAGTTTTGGCGACGTCTCAGGGAGGAGCGTAATGGCACAGTATTGTGTGCAGTTTGCAAGAATTCTAGGAATGGTACAGGCATTTTGTCCACAGGAATGGAATGTCCACAGGCATTTCTCTGACCCACATCTATGCCCACATTCCTGGAAACCCTTTCTGTGACACCGGGGCTCGTTCACTATATACTCGGGGGAGGAGTGCACTGTATCTGTCTTCCTCAAAATCATGAGATGATGGCAGTGCCATGCAAACAATAACCCTAACATGAACCACCGTCGCCATGGCAATGTATGTTTTCATTGCCAGTCTTGTTGACGTTTTATGGGGCTCTTTTTTGTACTGGTATTTTTTTCGTCAGTCTAATCTTTGCCAGCACTCACCCCGTGTTGGGGCAAAGCTCTTCAAGACAGACAAGAGTGTTTCTCCCTGGGAACTATCAAATTATAAAAAGAGATAACCATTTTGCTCGTCTGGATTATTACACACACATCCAGCAAGTGGCATCCAATTGGCGACACTGCCTGGTCAATTTGATATTGTCTTTGCAGCCAACGAAATATCTGCTAGTAGATTACGGATGCTTTTATCCTGTTTAAAAATACTAAGGATACTTAAAATTCAAAACTTAAAATGCATTCCACTTTTCCCATATCTCTACTGCATGTTACAAACGTATAAGATGTATGTTTTTTTTTGTTTGCTTCTTGTGTATATAACGGGCAAATACCCTGAAACCTATCATTTTTATTTTCATGTTAATTTTAATAGTAATCCTTCTGACAAAAATACATTGTAATTGCATTATAATTCAAAGAATAAAGAAAGACAATGCTTCAAACATTGTATAATCATCTCTAAGCTTAATTGACCACACCATTTACTGAGGTCTAACCTGTGATATGATAGACCTCATTCGACCATTTCCCGCCTTGTCCATCCGCTTTACAGGCTATGGACGGTCCGTACTTCTTGTAGGTGTTCTGGGCATCGGCAGACCCAAAACACGCACCACTATCCTGTATAGCGAACACGGTATAACCACGAGAACGTGCGACCTGGTAACACTTGTTTGTGGGGTTGTGGCGCTTCTGGTAGTAACCGTACAAGCGTGAATCTTTTCCATCGAGCCACGGAATGGCCCGATCACCACGATCACACCAACACCCCAGGCTGGTGTACTGGCGGACTCCACTTCCTGTGTGAGGAAGGACGTATTACTGTGATTAACGGTTAAACTTCTCTAAACATTTTTATTTAATGACGTAGCTGTATATTTTCTGGGTTCTGAAGACACTGTGCCAAATCATGTTATTTTTCACAAATTGTTTTCCTCATGTTTTTTTCTTCTCCTACTTTCCTGCTACTTCATTAATAGGTTCAATTTAAGAGGGTGATCGAAACTCTTACCAGTTTTTAGCTGACAGATGAAGCCCCTTGCCAAGTTGCAGTCTTTTTCAGCCCACGAGGACCCAGACCCCCAAAATCCGGCACAGCCACCGTGACCGTTATCCGGGACAGGTTCGTTAGGGAGCCAGTTAGAATAGCCGGATGACGTCAGGGTTTGGCCGTCTTCAAACACCCACTGCCCACTGTTCTCGGCGACTGTCAAACCAATCCAGCGACCCTCTACTTCATCTGGTAGCTTGTGGAGAAAGGCGTTGATCGCATCGTCCTTCGGCATGGCTAACATCCCTCCGTCTGCTGCGCACTCCTGTCGAGCCCCGTCGTGTGTCTTTGGCTCGGAAAAGCTCTTGTAGCAAACGCCCCTAAAACGAATGTAATCTCCAATAGGGCAATCTGTAAAAGAAACAATATGGCGACTTTACCTTAATATTTTACTCTACATTGTACATCATAGGTAAGGATACAATTTTGTTTTCCCTCAAGCTCCTCCTCCTCCCATTTTGTTGAATACATTCAATGTGTTATATTTTAGGCACCAAATAAACTAAAACGTAATATGGAGGTTAGATGGGCCAATATCATTTTTCACTTTTTTAATTTTTTTTTGAACACCTGTACCTTTCTATACTGAAAATTGGCCAGAATTTGGTATCAACATCATGTTAAGTATGGTATCAGCATCAGGTCAAGTATTGTACCAGCCCTAGGTTAAGTCCGAGAGGAAACAAATACAGGAGAGTATAATGTTAATGACCATGTTTGAGTTGCATTATCAATTTGTTTAATCAAGAGATTTTTGTTGTTAATTTGTTTCATAGTTGACTGCATTAACTGATTGTTAATATGATTTCGAACTTACCTTATGTTACTTAATTATGTTGATTATTTTAAATTATTCAATTTATGTTAATATTGAGTTGAATTCTGTACATTTCTGTTGTTATAATTTTGAATTTTATGTGGACTCCAGGAAGAATAGTGGTCAGTTGAACACTAATGGAGATCTAATAAAAACAAACAAACTCACCTTTCATTGTCTTGAAAAAGCAGAACATCCTGTTGGGCTTTGAGCTATCAAAGCAGCACCCTCGCTGATGACAATCTTCTGCGGTTATATATTCATATCCACAGTCAACCCGCGCGTAATATTCAGCCAGGCAAACATATGCATCGTCTGTCATGAATTTTAAAATACAAAAGTCAGTTGATATAGTCCTTTATCCTCATATTTCATTTCATTAAGAAAGTAACGTACTTCCTTGGATTTCTATTATGCCCATTGTGTCGTCTTCATAAAAAATTGAAATCTTCTTGGCGTTATCAAAATTTACCATCACTTTTGAACACATCTAAATTTGTGTCATTATTTCACATTTCTGACGTGTATAGTGTGCGTTTATTGTGGGATGGCACAAGTTTGGTTTTAAGAACAAAAACAACAACGTACAGTGGCAGGCTATGGTGGTTAATTTGCTATGGTTGTTTATGGGTATTACACACACACACACACACACAAACACACACACACTCACACACACACACACTCACGACGCACACACACACACACACACACACACACACACACACACACGCACACACACACACACACTCAGACGCACACACACACACACACACACATACACACTCAGACGCACACACACACTCTCTCTCTCTCTCACACACACACACACACAAACACACACACACACAAACCGTGTAAGAACATTAAATTTGTAAAAAGAAACCTACAGCAGCCTAGAATCTCCACCCTCATTCCGATCCACTTATACCAGGACTGAACGACGAAACGCACATAACGGGCATCGATGGGGTAGTCCAGTAGGTTGGTGACAGTGGTGTTGGCGTCGGTGTTGCCTGGAAAGACCTGGAAGGTAAACAAAGCATTAGGATTCATTTTTTTCTAAGACATGAAAGTTTATCTGCAATGGTACAATACATTATGATGGAATGGCTAAACTTTATGTGCTAAACTAAACAAATTGGGACCCAAATCTCCGGCAAGAAGTTTTAAGTTGTATTTTGCTTTATAATTATCCAGAAAAGCAAAATGATATAGTGGTATACAAGATACCTTCTCTGATCCATC